AACATACAGATTTTAAAAGATCAATTAAAAATAGTTCAAAGAATTTAAAGAAGACACTAACATCTGAACAAATTAAAAGAGAACAGGAAAAGACTAACAGAAGTCCAAGAAAATACAAATAGGTGAATGAAATAAGGAAGACAATTAAGGATTTGAAAACTCAATTCAATAGATAAAGGAATTACTGAAAAAAAAGTAAAATGAAAAATTTCAATTTGTCAAAAAGTTCAGTGGAAAGCATGAATGAAGTGACAGAATGAACCATGAGCTCAATCATTCATTCATTCACAGAAAATTATCAAAATGTTTAGATCCATGAATGGAGCATGCCTTGGGACACCATAAAAAGACAAAATCTACAATTTAGGCACATAAAGAGAAAAATTTGAAGACAAAGGCATAGAAAATATTTTCAATAAAATCATTAATAAATAGAAAATTCCTAACTCTAGGAAAAAGACATGACTTAGAAACCAAGAGGCCCACAGAGAAATAATAGGTAGGCACAACATATTATGACACTAAAAACACAAAATGGAGAAAGGGTACTGAAAGCTGTAGGATATAAGGGCTGCATCACGTGAAAAGACAGGCTCATTAGAGGAACAGCCTGGGGAAAATAACATTCCAAGTTCTGAAAGACCACACTGCCAACCTAGAATAGTATACTCAGAAAGGTTATTTTTTTATATGTGACATAGCAATAAAAACTTTCCATGATAAAAACAAACTAAAAGAATTTATGACCACTAAGCCAGCTCTACAGAGAAAACTGGAAAGTGTATGTCAGACAAAAGAAGGGTAGCCACACACAAGAGACCACAAAGACAAATAAACAATATCAGCAAAGGTAATCAAAGAAAGACTAGGAAAATGTATCAATATGATAGAAAGACACATCTTTCAAAAGCAACTAAATATTAATGGTCTCAATCCCTCCCTAAAAAGACACAGAATAACAGACTATATTTAAAAACAAGATCCATCCTTTTGTAGATCTAAGAAACACATCTTTCCTCCAATGATAGAGACTACCTTGGAGTAAAATGACAGGAAATAGGAATTCCAAGCAAACGGAATTCAGAATACAAAGGAAACTTAACAAATACAGGAAAAACGAAATAGCATCCTTAGTTAATATGATCACAATGAATTAAGTCAATAATCAAAAGCTAGGGAAAATGTACAAAGCATACAAACATAGAGGTATTAAGCAACACACTACTGAATGATGAATTGGTCACTGAAAAAAACCAAGAATTTTTTAAAAATATTTTAAATGAAATAAACTTGAAAACGTGGTATTCCAAAAACTATGCAACACAATAAGTACAGTTCTAAACAGAAAGTTTGTAACGTGATATACCTACATCAAGAAATGAGTACTGTCAAATAAATAACTTAATGATGCACTGAAAGGCTTTGAGAGAAAAAAATAAGAACAGGCCAAACCCAAAAGCAGTAGATGACAAGAAATAATTATGACCGGAGCAAAAACTGATGAAAGATACACAGACTCAATGAAAGGAGCTGAATGTGATGGTGAGGCCCTTTCATCCCTGCAGTTGAGGGGTAGAGGAATGCGGTCTCTGTGATTCCAGGGTGGTATGGTCTACATAGTGAGTTGCAGGCCAGCCAGGAGTGTACACTGAGGCCCTGTCTAAGAGGGGGAGAAAAATCAGTGAAAGGAAAAGCTGATCCATTCAAAAGATAACAACATTCACAAACCTTTATTTAACAGAAAGAAAGAAAATAATCCAATAAGAAAATTGGAGATACAAAGGGAGATATCATAAGAAATGTCAATAAAATTTAAAAAATAAGGAAATTTCTTAAATTTTTATATTCCTCTAAATCAAGAAATCTAAAAGAAATGAATTTCTATATGCATATGAATCAACAAAATTAAACCACGATGAAATAAATAATTTATATCTATAGATAAATAGATAATTTAGATCTAGATCTATAACCAATGGGTTTGAAGCAAAACTCGTCTCCAAAGGGGTGGGGGAGGACAAAACAGAATCTGATTAATTCGTTGCAGAATTCAACCAGACTTTCAAAGAACACCAATACTATTAGTAAACTATTCCATAAAATAGAAAAGGTAAGAATGCCTCTAAATACTTTTTATGAAGCCAGTATTCCCCTGACATCAAAACAAAATATTACAAACCAATCTCCCAGATAAATATAGATGCAACAATCCTCAATAAAATACTTGCAAACAGGGCTGGAGAGATGGTTCTGCAGCTAAGTATAGGGGCTGCTCTTCCAGAGAACCTGGGTTCAATTCCCAGCATCCACATGATGGCTTATGACCATCTGTAATTCTGTTTCTAAGCAATCCAACACCTTCTTTGACCTCTGGCACAGAAAAGGCTTTCTAGAAAATCCACCATTGGTTCATGATAAATGATGTGTAAAGGTTAAAGGTGGAGAGAACATATCCCAACAAAATAAAGGCCATACACTATAAACTTACAGCAAACATCATAGTAAACAGAGAAAAACTCAAAGCATTCTCACTACAATGAGGAACAAGACAAGGATGTCCAGTATCTCCACTTGTATTCAACACACTGAAGTCTTAACTAGAACAACAAGAGAAAGAAGTTAAGAGGCAACCAAAGGCTTAAAATATTAGTCAACATATCATTCCTTGCCAACAGTACAATCTTATACATGAGACCCTAATTCAAACAAAATGCTTTAGAACTCGAGATTCAGCAAAGTGACAGATGACAAAATTAGTACACAGAAATCAATAGCCTTCCTGTACATCAATGACAAACATACTAAAAAAGAAACCAGTGAAAATGAAAATCTCATTGACAACAGCCACCAAGAAGTAAAATGCATGGGAACAAACCTAAGTAAGGCAATGAAAACTGTAAGATACTGAAGAAATAAACTGAGAAAGACACTGGAACATGGTAAGGTTTTCCATGCTCAGGGCCTAGAAGAACCAGCATCATGAAAATCACCATCCTACCAAAGGTATCCTGTGGGAACAACAGACCTTGGCTGGAGACCCACTTCCCCATCAGTCTGGGGGCAGGCAGCTGTGAGACAATGTTTACTAAAAACATGTTTACTGAAAACAATCTGGAGTCTATAGGAAATGTTTACCAGAGTAATAAGTTCCTGAAAAGGGCTGCCCATGGGAATGCCCCGTCCTCAACCTTTCCAAAGACTAACCACTTCTTCCTGACCAACCCACCACAAGTCTCTGGTGTCAGAGCAGAACCAGCCAGGGGTAAGGGAGGGAGCAGAAGCCTTTCTTGAAGGAAGCCTTTCTTGGGAAGTTCTCTTGAGCCTTCTTGGGGCCTGCTTAAAGTTTTCTTTACACCCCTGACTGGTCTCTGTGTCATCAATCCCGACACCCTCACCACATTCTTGGATACAGGCTGCTCAGCAGGCAAGGCAGTATCCTGCAGAGTCAATGCAGTCACAATCAAAATGTTAAAGACAGTCTTCACAGACAGTGAAAACAGCATCTGAAAATTTATAGGGAACCACTACAGACCAAGGAAAGCAAAGCAATATGGATACAAGGGATACCATCGTACCTGAGTTCAAGTTACTCTACAGAGCCACAGTAATAAAAACAGAACGGTACAGGCACAAATATAGACACATAAAGCAGTGGAGTAGAATACAGGACCCCATATAGAAGTTCCCACAACTAAAGCTACCTGATTTTTCACTAAAAGCCAAAAATCTACAGTAAAACAAAAGAGTCTTCAGCAAGTGATGGTTGGAAAACCTGGACATTGCCAAGGAGAAGAATAAAACTAGATCTCTATATTTACCCTGCATAAAACTATATGCAAACCTATAAAAGACTTCAATATAAAACCTGATTTCCCAACACTTCTAGATAAAAAAGCAACAAGTACACCTCAACATATAGGTAAGGGTTTTCAGAATAGCATAGGAATATAAGACCAACAGTTGTCAAATGGGCTCCCATGAAATCAAAAAGCTTTCTGTATAACAAAAAAAAAAAAAAAACCAGTTAATTAAGTAACTAGAATATACAAGAAACTTAAAAAACTAAACTCCTGCAGGGTGGTGGTGGTGGTGGTGGTGGTGGTGGTGGTGGTGGTGGTGGTGGTGGTGGTGCATGCCTTTAATCCTGTCATTCCAGAGCCAGAGGCAGGTAGATCTCTGAGTTCAAACCCAGCCTGGTCCACAGACCATGATCCAGGATAGCCAGGGCTACACAGAGTAACACTGTCTCAAAAAACCAACCGAACAAACAAACAAAAAACCTAAATGCCAAAAAACAACCCAATTAAAATATAGACTATGGAACCAAAAAATAGTACTCTCAAAAGAATTATAAATGTCTAAGAAACCCTTTCAAAAGTCATCAACATCTCTGAATATCAGGGAAATGAAGATTAAAACTACTCTGAGATTCCCTTTCACCCCAGTCAAAATGGCTATCATCAAGATCACAAATGACAAGAAAAATTTTGCCATCAACGTTAATAAAGGGACTATTACAAACTGCTAGTGGGGTATAAACTAATGCAGTCACTTTGGAAATAAGGCTGAAGGATTCTCAAGAACCTAAAAATAAACCTACCATCTGGGCATGTACCCAGAGGAATTTATACCACACTACAGAGATAAATGCACATCCATGTGCACTACAATACCTAGAAAATGAACAAAAATCATTCAAAAATTAATAGTAGCACTTCATTTGACAACTGAGGCTCCCAGGCACTAATAAACCACCTTTGGTCAAATAGCTTGCAATTGTCAGAACAGGGTCCCCACCCTTTCTTTGCCTTCCTTGTGTACCACAAGACAAATTCAAAACACAATGGAAACATAAGCCCAACACTAACTGAAATGGTACTCAAAGTTGTTCCACCAAAGGCAAAATAAAGCAAATGAAAAATACCATAAAGTGACATCAACCCTCGGAAACAACAATATATGGAATTATCAGTTGACCCTTTTGGGGTCTGTCCACTTACCAGACCTTAACAAAGCAGGTGAAGAGAAGGCTGCATCAGGTGAGTGGGCCATTTCAACTTGATTCTTATCATAAGCGTTGCAGGCTAAACTACACCGATTTTAAACTGTTTAGTGAAGGTTAGAAGCAATCAGCATTAGATTAATTGAAAGCAGTATGAGCAGTTATTAGCATGATGCAATGTGCAAAAGACAATTGAAGATCATTAAATAATTTTAGTTTACCTTTTATGACTTGAGAATTTGATTTCTTTTATTTGGTAAATTAAGTTTACTTACATGAATAGACAGAAACATAAAATCTACTTACTAAGAAACATTTCATGAGCAGTATCATTTATTGTATAGCAAAGTTGTTATGATATCTTTAACAATGCTTAGAACTTTAAAGAGGAGTCTATCCCAGCAACAGGTTAATTCATGTTTTAAACAAGACTGTTTATATATTCCCCTAAAAGTTGTAAACAGATTCAAAGTAATTCCTTGTAATAAGCATGAAGTAAATAATGTAGTTCAAGAGAATTTACTGTCTATATTTCTCAGAGTCTAAAAATTAGAAACTGTAAACATAACTACTAATCCTAAAGATTTTCCCCATTTTTTGTTTACTTCTATCTAAATTTTACTCATTAAGTAAACATTCAGGAACATTTGAAATTGATACTATCCAGGTAACTAATGTGCATGGGACTGGGTTTAAGAAACTGCATTCGACAACAGCAAAATAAAACAAAATTTACCCTATTAAGAAAAGTAAGATTTTTATAAAGTTTACTGCTGTGACATGCATTTGAGTAAAACAAAGACCTGAAGAGAAAATAAACTATATGCTTATTAAAAAGAATTATGTTACAAAAATACATTGGGGACATTGTTCAACTCCCTGGAAGGCTAGTTATTCTCTTTGCCCAGAAGGAACAACCTAGTAACACTTTTATACTCCCAGAGCCATAATAACCAAATCAATATTTCTATATGATATAAAAAATTTTAAGAAAAAGTGGGAAACAAATATTTCATGACTGTTTCAAGTAATTGTACTGACTCTGAACTGAAGTCAACTAGTATTTTAAACTCAACTTTTCCAGTGGTTGTTCCACGACAGCCCTAAGTAAATAAACACAAGGATTTTAAGATTTAAAGCAGAATGAAATTGGTACTTTCTACAATCTTTCCTCCCTCTTTTACAAGGGAAAGGCCCTTGGTTGAAGATTTGTTATTCTGCCACCTCTCGAGGAACACCGTTTTTGCTCAAGACTATATCCAGTTTTAATAGGGGTAGTTTCAGTCTTGGCTCTCTGGGGGAGGGGTTATCAACCAGGAGTGCTATCTTTTACATCTCCGGTGACTTTGCAATTTGAACAAGTCAGTTCAGGACACTTGGACTGTTGGCATCTTCTGACCTCCATGGTTGGGAACTACCACTGGAAACTACAGGTGCTGGGATCACTTGGCTAGGGAAGAGGCCAATTCCATTCTGAACCCTAACCTGTACACTAACTTTGTGGCCCAGATCCCATCTTCCTCATTTTCTGACCCATAGAACTTGCTGCGGCTCAAAATTACTGAGGAATTACTGAGGGTGTGAAGGGGACATATGAAATAAGACAACAGTAGTCACCAGCTCTTTAGGACCTCGCTAAAAACGAAGACCCATTTTTTCAGAAGAGAGGTGGCAGGTACCCGTCTGGTTCCAAGAACTTATCGCTGCCTGGCGTCTCGGGGCAACTTTTCCTGGAGAAGTCAGTTTGCCGCTAATTTTGGGGAGGAAATAACTTGGGGGAAAACACGTAAGTTTTCTAAATGCTGGAAGTACGGGGTATGGGGGGTGGAAGGCAGGGGTAACAAGATCAGGGCACAGTCGGGGCCACCAACTGCTTTCGGAAGACAACTTCAGGACACGAGTTGATCCCTACGATCGATCCCATCTGCCTCCCTCCAGGGGACCTGAGGAAGAGCACCACCCATTGTACCCGGAAGGGGCAAGGTTGTTGCCACAAGCAGCCAAACCTGAGCGCTTGGCCCGGGCCCGTCGCTCCAAGACCTTCCAGCTTACTTCGGCCGTGAGTCCCTCCGCCCCGGCCATCGCACTGCGCCCACCGCCCGGGCTGCCAGTCAGCCACACGGCCGCAGCCCCGCCCCCGCGCGCGACACTGTCGGGAGGCACGCCGGCCGGAAGTGAGCTCCCAGGCAGACGCCGCCCTCGCTCCTCGGCCTCTCGGTCGTCGGAGGGACAGCCCCTGGCGAGCGGGAGAGTGCCGAGAGGGGCAGCCCGTGAGCCCGCACCCTGAGTCTTTTCTCGGTCGGCCGGGCGCACGGTGCTTTGCGGCTGCCGTCAAGCGCGGCGGCGGAGGCCGGCCGGGCCGAGGGCGCCATGGCGGCGGGCCTGCTGCCCAGCGCCGGGGTGCTGCTGGTGCCGCTGCTCTTGGGGCTCGCGGTGCTGAGCGTTGGGCCTGCCCCGGCGCGGGCTCTGCACAACGTCACGGCCGAGCTCTTTGGGGCCGAGGCCTGGGGCACCCTGGCGGCCTTCGGGGACCTCAACTCCGACAAACAGACGGACCTCTTCGTGCTGCGGGAAAGTCAGTGCTTGCCAGCCCTCTCTCTGTTTGCCCCTCGCGGTGTACCCACGCCCCCTTGTTCCCGTTACCCTCCCGCTTGCATTTCCCAGCCTGGTGGCTCTCCCTTTTATCTTCATCATCCTTGACAGCTTTCCCGTTTCCCAGTTTTTATCAGCTCCGGGTCCTGACCCAATCGCCGCTCCTTTTGACCAGCAGCAGCCCCCAAACCCTAGGAACACACCAAGTCCCTTCGCCCAGCAGCCTGTAGCATTCACCTGGGGAATATCCACCTGCCTGACAAAGATCTTCCTGGTTCCTAAGGACCTTGGTTTCTGGCCTGTGCGTTTGCTGTCCTTGTTTTTTTGTTCAATGTTCCGCCCCTTTGGGTCGGAAAAGATGCAACATGGCAGTCCCTTAGGAGAAATGTACTGCCTCTACTATTTGCTCAGTTTATCTGCCTCTCCTTTGGTTAAGGCCCACGATTCTTTGAAGTTATTGTGCCCTCCTAAGGCACCAAACACCCCACAGCTCACACGAACATTGTTCGTTGTTAACTCTGAGAAACGCAGTGCCTCCTTGGTTGTAACATTCTCGAGCTACAGACTTCTACAGGATGAGCCTCCTGGTATTTTCGAGTACATCTGACCCTTGCTCACCTTGCTCATCACTGTAGTCGTCAAAACCTCATCACTGTAGTCCTGCACATCACCTTCGGCCAACTTGCCATTCTTGAAAGTTCAGTAACTACGTTAAGCCTTAAAATAGAAGAAAAAAAAAGTCTGATACTAACCAAGTGCATTCATTAATAGGTGCTGGTTAAAGACCAAGGCAATGAGTAACGTTAAAAGCTTGATGCAGAGCTGAGTGATAGGATCCCCACAAGGACTTTTGGGGTCTCTTTCCCGCACTGCAGAACTTCTATAGACCTGAATGTTTTCCCTATGTTTGAATGATTACCTGTATTATAAGACTGGTGCAAGTCTATAGCCAATCTGTCCAAACTGGATTCAGAGACTCTCCTTAACTTGCAAGATACCCTGTGTTTGATTAAGCATTTCTGAAAGTCTGGCCCAGTGAGCATTGAGTTCCATAAATCCATCCATGTGGAAGGTCGTTCCATAGCAAGCAAAGGAGGAGAGTTGGGAGGACCCAGCCTTTTCTGTTCATGTGGTGGATTGTTACTTGGGAGAAGTTGTAGTAGGAATTCTGTATCGTGGGTATGATGAATCTGTATAATGAAATGAACAGCCTCATATACGGGAGAACTAACTCGATGTGGACAACACAAGGCTGAACAGTTGCAAAGTAAAGAATAAGGGTTTTTGTTGTTGTTTGGGGATGTGTGTGTGCATGTGTGTGTGTGTGTAATGTGTGTGGTGTTGTGTGCTCGTGTGTGTGTGTGTGTGTGTGTGTGTGTGTGTGTGTGTGTGTGGTGTGTGTATGTGTGCATGTGTGTGGTGTGTGTGTGCTTGTGTATGCTTTCTGTATTGCTGCAGATCAAACCAGGGTCTCATACTCGGTATGGAATAGGATAGCTTAAGGTGTGTTCTACATATAGATGGCTCTTTTAAATTGGCCTGTCAGCCTCTTGATGGAATCCCATGGCTTCACATTGCCTGGAACAAGTATGTTTTCGTACTTCCCTCTCCTACATTCCATTAGATTAGTATGCGTTCCCTTTAGAATGCTGTCTATCTAGATTAGAATAAAAATTTTCCTATAGAAACAGTACCCAGACATTTTTAAGCATTGACTGGATGATTTACCAAAAACCCATTTTTTTCTAAAATCATTTATTTGCTTCTTTTAGGAAATGACTTGATCGTCTTTTTGGCAGATCAGAGTGCACCCTATTTTAAACCCAAAGTACATGTATCCTTGAAGTAAGTACCAATACTTATTTTGGGAAATATTAGCCCTCACAATATGAATATGCAGTAGCTTGGGTTGTATTGGAAGTCAGTTCTGTTCAACTGTGGTATTGTGATACCTACTTCTGAAGTCTGAGTAGTAAGCAACTTGTAAAAAGTAAATAAAATAACAAGGTGAGGAATCGTGAGATGGCACTTTACTACTAAGTCTAATTATCTAAGTTGGAACCCAGCATCCATGTGGTGGCAGAAGACAACTGACTGCGATAAATTATTGTCTGATCTTCACTTATGCACTGCAATGCCATCATACATGCACAAATACACACACACACACAGGTGCTCATGCACAAGGTAGGGAAGGAGAGATACAAATAGATAAAATGTAATTTTAAAAGGAAAAACAGTTGAAAATAAAATTTAAAAATATTCCATCTTTACAAAAATAAACTTTGGTGGATCCAAGCCTGTTCTGTATTGCCTTGATAATTAATATGCTTTCTTGAATGAACTGTGTCTCAACATGATAGTTTCTGCAGAAGCAGGTAACTCACAAAAGTCTCATTTTCTTAAAAATATTTTGCATGTGGAATGAATGTCAATGACCTCTGTCCTGTTCTGTTTTTTCATTTTGTTTTTTTTTCCTTTTGATCTAATGATGAGTGTTTAATATTGATTTAGACAAAACCGAAATCAAGCTTTTGAAATTATCTTAATTTTTAAAATGTGCTTTAAATAATAGTTCTTGTCGTTCCTTTTTCGTGGTTGTCTATGAAGGGACATTGACCCCAGTGACAGTGAGCTATCATGATTTGGGAACTCTAGGGACCAAGTTAGCTATTCTCTCTAACCTAATGGAGAAGGAGATGGGTTAGCGCAAACCAAAGTTGCAGCTTCTGGACAGTCAATGGGATTTGAGCTTATAGCTTGAATAAAATTTAAGTTTGAGCATATTGCATTTATAAAATATAGCAGTGACATAAGCAATTTGCAAAAGAATGAAAAGATTTACTTGACAGAAAAGGTAGAGACGCTTGGGAGAACGGTAGTCGGAAAGGGAAATCAGAGCAGACTAGCATCTTTCCTAAGTACTAGAAATGTTTGGATTCAATTGTATGAGAAAATAGGAGTCATAGTATGTTGTACAAAACACAGATTATGAAAATGTACTTACATTGGTTTACCTGTTATTCACATTCATTATGAATTGGGGCCACAGACTAATGCATGCTTTAATTACTGCAGAGGAGCTAGGGAGATGACTCAGGTAAGGACCTGCTGCACAAACATGAGGAACTGAATTAGCATTCCCATTTGGGAGAGAAGGGGCAAGACTGACAGACAGATTCCCTCCACATTCAGTGAGAGACCCTGTCTCAAAAGATAATGTGGCAAGTGATTGAGGAAGGCATGCACTACCTTTTCTGTGAACTCACGTCCATGTGGGGGCTAGTTGATGCTCAAATTCAGCAGTGTTTAAACTCAGAATGCTGTTAGGAAAGCATTGGCCTTAAATTAGAACATTGGGAGGAAATTTATAAATGAATGAAAAAGAATTTTATTTTCAGAAATATTTTTGGAATAATTGATGCTGTGAATATTTGGAGTAAGAGAAACAAATGGATAAATACAAGAAATTAGCTAGAAGTGAGTTGTTGTTTTTCCTTTGAGAATTATATGTCAAGGAAATATATAAGATATAAAGGGCTTGTGTTTTGTTTTTGTTGTTGTTTTGGTTTTTCCGAGACAGGGTTTCTCTGTAGCTTTGGAGCCTGTCCTGGAACTCGCTCTGTAGACCAGGCTGGCCTTGAACTCAGAGAGATCTGCCTGTCTCTGCCTCCTGAATGCTAGGGTTAAAGGCGTGAACCACCAAAGTCCAGTGGGTTTTATTAAGTTTAAAACTTCAAATTTTTCTTTGATTTAATACAATATTATGGAAATTACTATTTTAATTTTTTGAAGATTGTGTGTGTACCTATGCTTGTGCATGTGTGTGTGCCTGTCTGTCTGTCTGTCTGCACATGAGCATGTGAGTGAGTGCAAGTGCCTTCAGAGGCCAGAGTGGACTTTGGTTCCACTGAAGTCACATGTGTTTGTGAGCTGCCCTCCCTTCCTGGTGCTGGGAACCAATCTCCTGTCCTTTGAAAGAATAGAATATTTTCTTAAACACTGAACCATTTCTTCAGCCCTTTGTTCTAAGTAGTATTTAGAATATTTCTGAAACTAAAAATAACTGTCTTTTTACTCCTGCACTCTATTATTCCTCTCAAATATAATTAATTTTAACCTTTAGTGTTTATTTCCATGTTTTCAAATAAATTTTTGCACTGTGGTTTTGTTTTTGTTTGTCTTAAATATTTATTTTGTATATGAATGTGTATACCTGAGTGTGCATACAAGAGCCCTCGGAGGTAGAAAAGGGCATTGGATCCCCCTAGCACTGAAACTATGGTTCTGAACCACCTTGGCTGGAAACCTAACTCATGTCCTCTGCAAGAGCAGCAAGTGCTCTTAACTACTCTGCCATCTCTCCAGTCTCTTGTATTTGTTTTGCTTATATTTAAGTGATGTGAAAATCAAACCCAGAGCCTCATCCATACTACACAAACACTACCACTGAGCCAGCGCTTGAATATTAACAGGTTTTCTATTGATACAGTTGAGATTTATGGTGTTACATAAAACTGTCCTATGTTCCATTCATTATGAGTTCTTCTGTAGACCAACAGGATCTATACACCCAAAGAGAAATGCGATACAAAATAAGTAATTATTTCTATTAAATCTTGAATTTTGAATTGAAAATATTTTGTGTGATAAATATAAGGATGTCCTTTTCTGTTGTAACTTTTCTAATATGTTTTAATTCTTACTTTCTTTAGGAGTCACAGTACATTAATAACAAGTGTAGTCCCTGGTGATTATGATGGGGATTCACAAATGGATGTCCTGCTCACATATTTTCCCCAAAATCATAGCAACAATGAATTAGGAGCTGTTATCTTCTGGGGACAAAATCAAACATTAAGTGAGTTTTAAATTTTTTATTATTTATTATTGGCTGAAAAAGGTAATTTGTGAAAATATGCCTGGTATTCTTAATGAAAATGTAATAATATTTGTTCTCAAAACAATTGCATATTGTGTTCTGGTGTTCCAGTAAAAACTTCTTAAAGGTTTATTTTCTTTTGTAAACTAACCTAGTCCATTCCAGAGAACAAAATCTGCTCTTGATCACTTCAAGAAGATATATTGTTAGCTTTTATCATTATTGGAATAACTAAAGAATTAACTTAAGGCCTAATACGATGTCACACATCTTTACCTCAGCAGCTGGGAGGCAGAGACAGGTGGAACTCTGTGGCTTCCATGTGTGCTAGGGCTAAATATGAGGCTTTGTCTCATGGTAAGAAGTACAAACTTCAGAGCTTTGGGGGAACATTAAGGAAGGTACTGTGTCCTTAACTATGAGAAATAGCCAGGTGCACAACAGATGCTCAAATGATGCCAGTATTGCTAATTGTCTCACCAGCAAAATGGATGGTGCACTTGGTCTCTTACTACAAATTCAGTGTGCAAACACAAAAGTAGGTGTAGTAAAATTATATATGTTGTCTTACCACACATGCCTGTAAAAATCAGTCTATCTGGTTAGCAAGTGTCTTAGTTAGGGTTTTGTTGCTATGAAGAGACACCGTGACCACAGCAACTCTTATAAAGGAAAACATTTAAGTGGGTGCTGGCTTACAGTTCAGAGGTTTAGTCGATTATCAGCATGGTGGCATGCAGGCAGACATGGTGCTAGAGAAGCAGCTGAGGTTTCTCTGTCTAGATTCACAGGCAGCTGAAGTGAAGTAACAGTAGGGGGATGTTAAGAGCCTTAGACTTCAAAGCCCACCCCCACGGTGGCACCATTCCTCCAGCAAGGCCACGCCTCCTAATAGTGCCAGTCCCTATGGGCCAAGTATTCACAGGGCTTACATTTAGGTAGCAACACAAATGCTAGGCAGGGTATCTGGCAAACCTTCTTTTTTGTTTCTAGTATTCCAGTACAGAAAAAGTACTAAACGTATGGGTTGTGACTCAATCTACTGTATCCATTCATGAATCTTGAAATTCTATCTGAAAAGCCAATTGATAATTCAGAAGTTGACAGTTTTATTCAAAGAGGGCAAATGCCTGTATGCCTTGTGTCAACGTTTGGGAATGCAGACAAGAATCTTAATCCATCCTGTCGTCCTTTCATTTACAAGAGTACCATATGCAGGTGCTGCTTAAAGAAAACCTGGACATGCGGGGTGGGGTAAGGGTTAGACACGCTGTTTTATTTGTCTACATTGAAATATTGTTGATTACCAAATTGTATAGGAAAAAAGTCAGCTAAAAGATATTCAGATGGGAGCCTCAAATGAAGCTGTCCATTGAATCTTCATTATAATGTGAACTCTTGTCAATGGCTTATTGTTAAATGAAGCTTTTGATGTCTCCTTAGTGATAAGTGTTGCAGGAAGTTAGAGATGAAGCATGTAAAGAATAAAAGAATACTTTGTAGATAGGAAAATTAATTTTAAATCCCCAACAATTCGTATTCATATGTATTGTGTATGTATACAAATATATATCTTTTTTTTTTTACAGATTCTAAAAACATGACCATACTCAGTAGGACTTTTCAAGACCAGCCACTGATTATGGAGTAAGTGTCTGCTTGCTTTTGAACAATTTAAAACTTACAAACATAAAGTCCTTTATGTAGAAAACTACTCTGCTAAGTAAGATTGACTCTAAATTTATGTCTTAAAGTTTATAGGAACTTGTATACATGATTACATGATATTTGCTATAATGAAGTAAAGACACAAATGAAAGAGAAAATTGATTATCTTGAAGAAAGGAAGATATAGATTTATATCTATAGATAGATAACTTCATTCCTTGTGGATCTATAGTGATATGTAGTCATGTATCATTCTTTAATTAAGATTACAGTTTTTAGTTTGAAATGTTCATTGATAGATGTGAAAAATATATCTGTGTATATCCCCTCCAGAAATGGGGAAAGATTTCCACATTAAGAAGAAAATGTGGTCCTTTAAAATAAATTTTCCTTTCTGTTATATATTTCCTCAAAATAAACAAGATTACTAAATCTAAATTTCAAACAAGATAATATTGGTAATGAGGTAATGATCATTCTTGAAACATAAAATATGGCCACATTCTTATTTCCAGCGATGTCATTTACAGTTACTAAATCATTCCCACATCATGGATCAATAGTGATGAGAAATCTGAAATATAAAACCATAGTTTCACATTCTAAAGAGTGCTTCATTAGATTTCTTTTATACTTGTGTATTTTTTCATTATTATTATAATAATCAGTGGCAAGTATGAATTTTTATCGCAGCTAGGGGTTATTTTATGGGTTATTTTAAGTCTAAAGTTTCCAGGAATTAATACAGAGTAGGACTTTTTTTAACCAATTTAGTCTTTTAATATTTTAATCATTTTTTTATTTTAAAAACAATCTTTCCTCATTTTACATAGCACTCCCAGTTCTCACTCCCTTCCCTCTTCTTGTTGCCCCTCCATCCCCCATCCACTGCTCAGAGAGGGTAAGGCTTCCCATGGGAGTCAACAAATTCCGGCACCTTTCTTTGAAGCAAGACCATGGTCCTCCCGCTATCAAAGCTGAGCAAGGTGTCCCCTCCAAAGATAATGGGCTCCACAAAGCCAGTTCAAGCACTAGGAATAAACTCTGGTCCCTCTGCCATTGGCCCCAAGCCACATAACTGTCACCCAAATTCGGAGGGCCTAGTTTGATCTTATGTAGGTCTTGTGTCCGTCCCACCCCCCCCCCTCCACCACTGTCAGTCCAGAGTCAGTGAGCTCCCACTAGCTAAGGTCAAGATCAGGGCATTTCAATGCTGATCTCCTCATGGCCGCTTTCCACCCTTTGTGCATGGCCCTGCTATGTAGATGTATCATGGAGGTATACAAGTCAAACAATCACCGATGGTAAATCAGTAAAGACTTTGTTTTAAAACAATTGATTCTTATACATATAATTTTATTGTTAGTTTAAAATTAGTCAAATTTACCCACAAAAAGGATGATGTTCTTTTTTATCTTTACAAAGGAACATTTCATAATAGTGCAGGGTGTAGAAGTTCTTCATTGTTTTCCAAAGATGATCAATTTTTTCTAAACATCAATGCTGAGAATGCCATTTCATATAAATACATAATTTTTAAATGTCATATGTGTGTTTAGGGTCATTTCACATATTGTTGGAAAGTGTACTTAACCCCAAGCCATTATTGAATGAATTTTTTTCGTGAAATTTAAGTGAACAACTTAAAAATTGATTTTAAAAATCAAAGTTGCTAACAATACAATTCAAATAGTTGCTAATCTGTTACTGACATGCTGAGGAATGACAATAGAAAAGTATCTTTATTCTCTCTGTAATTAGACCATCATGTTTCCCTAACAACGGAAACTGTGTATACTCAGGGCACTGCAGTTCATCCCATGCAGTAGTACTGATGTGCACCAGGAGCTTCAGGCAACAGAGCCTTGGTTGACATTGATTGGTGCTCAATGTTTGTTTTGTGTTTATAACCAGAGACTCAGTGCAGTATGTGATGTGAAAATACCTAAGATTCATCCTATGTTTGACTTTGAATTCATTTTTGGTTGTTAAATTCAAAACCATTTTATCATTGCCAAATAGTTGCAACTCCTGTTGTCAGTTATGGAATCCCATTTGAGATCACAAACTATACTTTAAGAAGCCAAGCCCTAACATTAATTCCTGCTGTACTATGGGTCTGGTATGGCTAGCAAGAGGCTTTCATTTATGCTCCTGCTTAGAAAGTAGAACTGTCAGAACCCCTCTTGTCTCTGAAGGTAGCCCATGCAAACATAGTTCCAGTTTTTTTTTTCATTTTTTGAGATTATATTATAATTGCATCATTTCTCATTCTCTTTTCTTCATCCAAACCCTCACACATATCCTTTCTTGCTCTCTTTCAAATTCATGGTCTCTTTTTTTAAATTGTTGTTACATGCATATGTGGTATGCACATATGTATTCCTAAATATAACCTGCTCGGGCTCTATGAAAGTTTAGTGGATAAACAAATGCTGTACTCACCCGCTACTCTCAGCATTCCTTAGTTACCTGCAGTTCTTTGTATAAAGTTGAGGTCTCCTGGGCTTTCCCATATCCATTTTAGCATGTCTGTTATTGTTGTCCTTTTTCAGCTCATGTTATGGCAGTCATGTTGGTGACAATCATAGGTATAGAATCTGACACTTTTAAGGAGACACAGTCTCACAGTAAACTGTGAGAGCTTGTTCCTCTGGCTTTCCTAATATTTCTGTCCCCTCTTCTGCAATGATCTTTGAGCCTTAGGATCAAGAGTGGTGTTGTAGTTGGGAATAATGGACTCGATCTATTGCAAAGAGAATGCAAAGAGATGTTTCTTTGAAGAGGGGTGGGGACTATACTTATCTGTGGGTATAAGAACAAATGTTGAGAACTTATTAGGGATTGGGCTAGTGATGAGGGATGTCCTTCTGTATATATGTTTCTCTTATTGGTCGATCAAAAAACACTGATTGGCCGGTATCCAGGAAAGAAGTATAGGCAGTGCTACCAGATGAGGAGAATTCTGGGGGAGGAGGCAGAGAGTGATTTCCAGGGAGATGCAGTGTAGCTGCTGAAGAAGCAAGAGGCCCAGACATTTTCCAGTAAGATAAGACTAAGTGGAAGTACTTAAATTAATAAAAATGGGTTAATAATTAAGAGAGAGCTATCCAATAAGAAGCCCGAGCTATGGGCCAAACATTAAATATAAACCTCTGTGTGCTTATTTGGGACTAAACGACTGTGAGACCTGTTGGGAAAGAAACTCCATCAACAGGCTAGTTTAGTGAAGTGGAGGTTGGTGACCTTGCTACCTTGGGTAGTTGACTAGGTTTTCAGTATCAGATATGATTTCCTGTTGTTAGTTCCAGTTTAAAGAGCTATTGTTTACCACTACTTCTCCCGTGGGGTGATTGTGCCATGCTGTTTGTTGTGGTGGTTCATGAGAGTCTAACTGCTTTCATCCTTTGGAAATTTGTACCACAACCTCTGTTACAATGAGAGCTTGTGCTCAGGGAGAAGATATTGAGGTGAGTTCTGGCTCAGGGACTTCTGGGCCCTGTGTCTGAAGAGCATGATGTCTCCAGCAATAGAGGCTCACTTTGCACCTCTTGGGGACAACCAAGTGAAATAGCAATGGCATGTAATATTTGAGAAGTCTCTTAGGCAGCTCTGGTCAACAACTCAAGAGAGAGCGTGTATGCTTGCTGTTGGGGTTTTTCTTAAAGCGTCTTTGACACTTGGAGGAAGCATTGTCATCTCAGGTGAGAAATTGTCATTTAAGTTACATATGTATATTCATTCACCAACTTAACTTGTGTTATGTGTATTTTTAGATAGCTAAGATATGCCCTTATAATGCAGATCTAATTCTTTTTTTTTTTTTTTTTTTTTTTTTTTGGTTTTTACGAGACAGGGTTTCTCTGTATTGTTTCAGAGGCTATCGGTCCAGCCTGGCCTCGAATGCACAAAGATCCGCCTGCCTCTGCCTCCCGAGTGCTGGGATTAAAGGCGTGCACCACCACCGCCCGGCGCAGATCTAATTCTTATAGCTGTGGCAGCAGGTTTATTCGGCTGGTGGATCCATTAGCAAAACTAAGACTTTGGTCTTGAAGGGGCTACTGTGCCTTCTGCTTCATTGGCCACAAATAGACACTGTTGAGTGTAGTGATGTTCCACACTCCTGAAAGCTAAGTTAAAAGTGGCATTTTAATAAAACAGCTGCCTAATTTTTAAAATATTTTCTTTTCAGCTTCAATGGTGATTTAATTCCTGATGTATTTGGTATCACAAATGAATCCAGCCAGCCACAGATACTATTAGGAGGGTGAGTAACTAGGAGTATAGCTGTGTAATTAATCATATGAATTCTTGCTGCTGCCAGATCTGTGTGTGAACATTTGCTTTAATCATTGAAGAAAAGCCAACTTACTAGAAACGCTTGTTTAAAAACAGGTTTTGAGAATATATGGTCAACATGAAAGCTTTCTCAAAGAGTTTGGACTTGATCTGTAACCATTTTATATATTGGCCCTCCTAGTCCATCCTGCAGTAGATACACAGGCTTCACAGGTCTCTGTGTAACTAGCAGTTCATTAGATGTTGCTAGAATTTAAGTAAGATGAATAGCTCCAGTCTGCTAGGGCCATCATTGTTCTGTTAGCTCCTATATGTTAGTTCATAAGCTTTGCTGCTTTATTTCATTTGTAAAATAAAAAAGTAGATTAATTTAATTGCCTAAAAATTTAAGGACCCTCTTTGGTTCTGGAAACTTCTCAGTGTGAACTTTGTCATTGAGCAGTATATATACTGAGGTTTTCATATTGTTTAAGCATGCAGTTCAAAGGGCTATACCTCATTTCCTCTGGATTTCAATACAACTTTCTTCCTAACTCATCTAGTGATGGAATCATACTTTTCATATGGGACCGTCAATCTGTTTTCTGAGGTTTTATTTTTTTCTGCACCTGGTAAGGCCAAGTTTTTGTCTGTGTATTGAGAGCATATTTGGTTTTTTTTTTTTTGCTTGTTTGTTTGTTTGTTTGGCCTTTAAGGAAATGCAGAGAATCACTCTTACTTGTATGTATTCCAATATTTATTTGGAGCTCCAACAACTTTCTCTGTTTTTGAGGCATAATGTATTTTTATGATTATGTTTTCAAATGTGATTTACAGATAGACATGAGTAAATTGTTTTTAAGTTGTTGTGTGGACAAATGCTATGAATTTTGTAAAGTTTTTTTCATAAAGAATATAAATGTTTGGATACTTATCATAATGAACATTTAAAGAATTGCTATGGTTTGTACACCTTCCAGAATAAGTAAGTATATATAAAAATTTAAAAACACTTATAAAAATCTGTTAGATAAGATAAAAGCTTAAACAAAACAAAAAAAGGAATATAAAACTATACATTTTAAAATTAATTTAAAGATAAGAAATGAAATAACCATTTATTATTGGTCAGCATTTCTTCCTAGTTAGGATGGTTTTCTCCAGCTCTTGTTCTGTCTTTGAGCTTCTTGTGTTTCATGGTGTGACTCACCCAGGTTGTAGTGAGTACAGCCTTCCCTACATCCTTCAGACTAGTCATTAGAGGGATTGTGTACAATCCTAGCCTCAGGTTTGCACACTGCACTTCTACAACAGCCAACACTTCCCCACCATCTCTTAACCCAGTTGTACCCATCCTGTGACCTTGTTTCTGAAGGCCACTCAGTCCGTCCTCATTGAAACAGTGATCACTTCATTTTATTTGACATTTAAAATTAAAATCTATAAAACAGCCAAAATAATAGTTCAAAAACTAAAATCCCAATGTCTCTATGCACTTTTATTAACCTGAGAATATCATCTTAAAGGGCCATGACTTACTTATTTTAACTTTTATATTAGGTTTTCTGTAATGCTTCTTTAAATAGTATAGCTTCTTTAAAAAGTAGTATCACTTTTAAAAGTTATTCTGCCTAAAGATGTGATCCTTCATGTTTCTTATAAACTATATTCTTATATGCAATAGATTAGACTAATAGTCTGTTGCTATATGACATCTCTCATTCAAATGTCATAGATCAAAAAGTAGTAGCCAAATTTTCTCTAAATGATTTATCCCGAGGCCAACTTAATGAATTTTTTAAAAGATTATCGTGTGTGGTTGTGTGGGTATGTGCACACACACACACTTATGTGAGAGAAAATCAGGTACCTGTTACACCCAATGTTGTTCAGTTCCCTAGAGTTGGAGTTACAGGCAGTTGTGAACTGCCTGACATGGATACTGGGAATTGAATTTGGGTCCTCTGTAATAGCAATTTTTACTCTTAACCGAAAATCAATCTCTCTAGTAATGAATAATTTTTAAAATTCATACACACAAAAATTTTTCTTGTGGTTGGAAGTATAGTTTATTTCTAAAAAGTATGGTTAGCATGCAAAACATCCTAGGTCAGTCCTCCCCACACAAGGATGCATGTGCACACATCTAGACATACCGGCTTTCTGTTGGTACACTTGGGAGATGACTGCATATAAGATAAAATTGAGTGTATCCCATAGTGGGCCCACACCTCAAAGGTTCTAGCACCTTCTCAAACACTGCCACAAATGGGGATTGAGGTGTTAAATATGTGAACCTACAGGAGACATTTCTCATTCAAACCACCACATATGTACAGGTATGTAAGCACAGGTGAAAAAAACACCACAGATATGCGGGTGTATAAGCACAGGCAAAAAAACCACCACATATGTGCAGGTATACAAGTACAGGTGAAAAAAAAACATTATATATCTACCAGTGTACAAATACAGGTGAAAAAAGCACCACATATGTACCGGTGTACAAGTACAGGTAAAAAAAAAAAGCATCACATACGTACCAGTGTGTAAGTGCAGGTGATAAAAGCACCACGTATATTCAGGTATATAACTACAGGTGAAAAAAGTACCAGCAAAAGAAAATCTGCACTATTTAGACTTTGATTAGCAGTCCAGTCTTATTCGTCAGGAATCAAACGTAACTTTTACAACTTAGCTGTTACACATTATAGATATGCCACTCCTCAGTTTATTTTACTTAAATTTGGGTAACAGCATAGTTTTATAGAAAACTTACAGTGATTTTTACATAGAGTGCCAAATGTTTAAGATTGTGCTCAGAATAGGCTATAATCTGGACTAGCACTTGCTTGGAAATAGGATACTGCCCATGGTAAAGGAATAGAATCACTCTGGCTGTAGTTACCGTGAATGTGGTCAGTTTAAGTAGGTAGTGAGTCCTATGTTGTTGCCCAGTAATGGTTATCTGACAGGGTGATGATAAAGCTAGTAAGATGGAGGGCATAATTGCATTATGTCAAATGGTCAAATGGGAAGCTTCAGTTTGTGCTTCAAATTCACTTTATACTGGCTTGAAACCATATAATTATGTATCACATTGCTTAGAAATAATACCTAGCTATGAAGTGTTAGAGCATCTTTCACGGTTAAATGAGCTTATCATTAATAGGCATTTTCTATAAAAGGATATTTGAAACAGATGTTAAATATGCTTTTAGAATAGCTTTAGTACTGAAATAAAAACATTTGTGTCTGTATTGTTAATCAAGGGAAAAATAAAGTTTTATGTTCAAGATTTCTCTGGATCACAGACTGTATTCACACACAATTTTCAGTCAAACCTAACTTTTATACTATATAATATTAATGGAGGTAGGTAATAAATATATACTTTACCATGTTCTGTTTACTTCACAGTATAGTATTAAGGGCACGAACAACGAAAGTATTGGAAAATGTTTTAAAGTATTGTAAAATTTTTAAAGTATGCATAATGATTGTACATATTAATGGTGACAATGTGATATTTCAGTGACTTTACATAAAATGTAATGGTTACATGAAAATATTTATTATATCCATTACCTCAAACATTTTTAATTGTTTTGTTATTTCTTGTTTTTGAGGTTATAATTACATAGTGTTCCCCTTCCCTCTTTCACCAAAACCCTCCCGAATGTACCTCTCCTGCTTTCTGTTATTCATTCCTTATGATTATATACATATATCAATATGGTTATTCCTAAATGTAAAGAATAATCTGCTCAATTGCTATAATGTTGCCTGTATGTATATGTCTCCAGGGCTGATCATTTGATACTAGGTAAACAGTTGGTTTACTTCTTCCCTGGAGGACATTATTTCGCCCACTCTCAACCTTCCATAGTTACCTATGGTTCTTTGTAAAGTTGAGGTCTCCTTGACTTTCCCACATGCATTTTGGCATGTCTATTGTTGTTGTCCTTGTTCAGCTCATGTTTAGGCAGTCATGTTGGTGAGACTTCATACAATGTTTTAAGGAGACATAGTCTCTCAGCAAACTGTGAGAGCCTGTTTGTCTGGCCTTCCCAATCTTTCTGTTCCCTAGTGTGCAAATGATCCCTGAGCCTTAGGTACTGGAGTTACATTATAGTTGAGACTGGGCTCCAAAACTTTGCATTTTAATTACTTGCTATTCTCTGTAATGGTCTCTATCTGTTTCATGTTTCTCTGATTTCCTTCTCAGCCCTTTTGTCATCTGTATTATATATGAGGGCAGTACTGATTATGTTGCATTAATCTTGTATCCTGCTACATTAATGAAGGTGTTTAACAGTTGTAGGAGTTCTCTGATAGAATTTGGTGTTTATAAGTTGTAGGAGTTCTCTGGTAGAATTTTTGGGGGCACTTATGTAAACTATCATATCAGCAAATATCGAGAATTAGACTTCTTTTTTATTTGTATTCCTTTGATAATCCTTTTGTTGTATTATTGCTCTAGCTAGAACTTCGAGTACTATGTTGAATAGATATGGAGAGAGTGGACAGCCTCGTCTTGTTCCTGATTTCAGTGGAACTGCTTTGAGTTTCTCTCCATTTAGTTTGATGTTGGCTGTTGGCTTGCTGTATACGGCTATAGTTATGTTCAGGTGTGTTCCTTGTATCCCTATTCTCTCCGAAACCTTTATCATGAAGGGTGTTGAATTTTGTCAAAGGCCTTTTCAGCATCTAGTGAGATGATCATGTGTTTTTTTCTTTCAGTTTGTTTATATGGTAGATTACATTGATGGATTTTTGTATGTTGAATCATCCCTGCATCCTACTTGATCATGGTGGATGATTTTTCTGATGTGCTCTTGGATTCAGTTTGGCAGTATTTTATTGAGTATTTTTGCATCTATGTTCATGAGGGAAATTGATCTGTAATTCTCTTTCCTTTTCTTTTTTTTTTTTTTTTTTTTTTTTTTTTGGTTTTTCGAGACAGGGTTTCTCTGTGGCTTTGGAGGC